TGCACTCACACTGCTGAAACATGCCCTTTAAGTACATTCAATGCACAATCCATTTTACGCATGTCAAATGTATAGCAATTATGATCCTCATTTGCCTGCAAATTCATTATATATGAATAAAATTTGTTATTTTTCACCACAACATATTATGTAATATATACCGCTGTGAAATTAAATGCTTCCATCGGGTTCCATGAAATGGCATTTGTCTTCATCTAAAAAGTTATAATGTAAACGTGTTTAGCTAATAAAATCATAAAAATATGAGCGCTGCCAAGGGAAAACGTAACATCGGGCTTTCGATTATATTTTATGTCCAGCTTGTCGTCTAAGGACAATCTGTCATCGGACTTTCAATTATATTTTTGTGATGAGTTGTCACAAAGTCCGATGATAGATTTTCCTTGACGGCAAACTGGACACAAAATATAATTGAAAGCTCGATGTCAGGTTTTCTCTTGGTAGCACTCGTATCTGAAGAGGAAAGCTCTACAAACCTGCAAAATTAACTTAGCCAATGGAGAATTCATTCTGAGATCATAAAGAGTGATTGATCTATCTGTACCACAACTCCCAAGAATATTTGATTCAATTTGATTAAATTTGACAGTGTGTATTGTGTCTGTTCCCCAAGTAAAGGATTTAATGGGACTTGATCTATACAGTATTGTTGAAGATTCATAAATAATAAATTACTACAAAACATAATGTTGAATTTCTATTTGACCTATAAAGATTATATACCTATTTTCATCCCAAATATCAACCTGAGAACCAGAAGTAGCAAAGATTAAATCAGAGCGATGATGATCAATTGCACTATAATTGAATAAAATACATGAAATGCATATAGTATTATGGACAAGAAAAAAAGAAGAAATTAACCACAAAAGAAGTTAGTTACCTGAAAGCGAACTTCCCAATAAAAGTGTTTATTGGCTAAAATTTAAAGACATGTAATTGTAAATTATAGTTTGTTATCAACTTTTAGTACAGGATTTTCAACAGTACCTCATCATTAAGTTCATCAGGATTCCAAATTTTTACAGTTTTATCCGTCCCACAAGAGTAATAAAAATTACTTTTTGTTGGGCTACAACAAACACCTTTGACGATGCCCTTGTGTCCAGAAACTTTCCAAATAGCTGTTCGCTCAGATAAATTCCAAATTCTTAATTCTAGAAAATTATTGATCTATTTAATCAAAGCTAATTAAATTGAGACTTTTTTAAACTATTAATTATATAATACCTCCGTCACCACTACCGGATATAATTGTAGTTAATTTTAAAGGATATTTAGCCATACAATAAACCCCATCTACATGACCACTCAAAGCATCAACAAAAGGTTTAGCAAACAGACGTTCTAATTTGACAGCATTAAGTGCTCTTGTATATTCACGAGCTTTTTCAAAAGGGTGCAGATTAGGATCTAGGTTTCTTTTGATTTTAT